AATTTAAATAGAATTTTAAAATATTGCTACACTTCTATGAAAAGTATTTAAACTTGCATAACTTGCTACTCTGACAGATTACATTAAAGGGCGGCAGTCGTCATGCCGCGTCTTGTTCGCTATGGGATTCATAGCTCGTATACAACGATTTTTTTACGCGTGTAAAATACATTGTTTATTTCGAAAACGCACTGCGCAACAACCACCGCGTTTTAAGTAAAGCGATTAAATTAAAACAAGCAGCCTCTCGGCTGAGATAGCTCCGCTGTTAGCAATGCACATTTCAATTAAAGAACAGAAGATATCATTAGAAAATGAACAATATGTATAGTATCAAAGCAATGGGACTTGCTGTTTTTAACAAGAATTCAAAAATATCATTTTTCACCATAAATGATTGTGGTTTTTAACAAGAAGTCGAAAATATCACTTTTTACCAAAAATGACAAAAATATTCACCAAAATTAGAGAATTGAAGATATCATTACAAAATGAACAAATCTGAGAGGTCCACATGTAGTACCTATATATGTAATATCAAAGCAATTGGACTTGCGGTTTTTAACAAGAAGTTGAAAATATCACTTTTTACCAAAAGTGACAAAAATATTCACCAAAATTAGAGAATTGAAGATATCATTGCAAAATGAACAAATCTGAGAGAGGTCCACATGTAGTACCGTACCTATATATGTAATATCAAAGCAATTGGACTTGCGGTTTTTAACAAGAAGTTGAAAATATCACTTTTTACCAAAAATGACAAAAATATTCACCAAAATTAGAGAATTAAAGATATCATTACAAAATGAACAAATCTGAGAGAGGTCCACATGTAGTACCTATAAATGTAATATCAAAGCAATTGGACTTGCGGTTTTTAACAAGAAGTCGAAAATATCACTTTTTACCAAAAATGACAAAAATATTTACCAAAATTAGAGAATTGAAGATATCATCATGAAATGAACAAATCTGAGAGAGGTCTACCCAAGGTACATATACACCAAGTATCAAAACATTCATTCAGGCTTGTAGTTTTCAAGAAGAAGTCGAAAAAGTAAAACATTGACACGGACGACGACGGACAATCACTCATATGATAAGCTCCGCTCGACAAAGTCGGCAGCGGAGCTAAAAAAGCGTCAACCTTGTAGATGTAGAAGCCACATAGACTTTGATTCATAAAACTATATACACTACAAGGATCTTGTATGGTCTATGATAGAATATAAAACCTCTCGGATGAACAATAGTGTATAAGAACATGTACATACCACTTCAAAATTTCCAGGTGCCACAATAAGGTTGTCAAGAACATTGTTGATTTTAGTGACCAGACTCAAAATAGCAGCTTGCTCTCCAGCAGTGGGCGTCAAATCTTGATTCTTTTTCAAAATAGCCTGAAAAGAACGACATCATAAGCCTAAGTACAGCTTGCATTCTGATTTCCGATAACCAATTTTTATTAAATGTAAAGTTTGCAAGAGGCATAAAGTAGAAGCATCACTGCCTGACAATCATAGGATACCAACAATGTCATCAAAGAAAGTGCAAAAAAAGAAAGAATTAATTTAGTAAAATCACAAGTAAACAGTGAGATTTTGAGCTCTAGTGGCACAGAAAACAATACAATTTTTAGTTCCATAAATAATTGTATTTACACTCATTCAAATTATCCCATATATAGATAAACCACATTACATGACATCATATTCAAACAATGTAAACGAAGTAGAAAAAATATCAAAAGTGGCAAAAACGGAATCACACCACTGAACACAAACTTTTGCACAGCGTAAAATTTTATTGTCATTTCAGGCTTTTTATGTCTCATTAAATTATCACTACAAGGGAAGAAAAAAATTAATAAAAACATTATGAGAATGACACACAGTAACTAAGCATAAATTCATACTGTCTCTTTCCATACTTGGTGATAACATCTTATTAGAATACCAGCTGTACTGTACAGTGTTGAACCATTTTATCACCAGTTCCCTTTTTACATCACATATTCACAAAATAGTCCTGTTTATAGTCTACACTTTCCTTCGGAAGACCGAGACAAAAAATAGCCAAATTTTTAGTAGAAACCTAAAATTGACTAAAATTGTGTCTGTCGGCTCTAAAATTAGAGTTTATTTCCAAAAATAATGAAGAATACAAGAAAAAAGAACATAACCATGTGGGCGTCTGGAGGTGAAAAGGTGAAAATCTAAACTGATTAAAGAAGTGTCAGGCATGGTATCGTATGACGACTTTGATGTTGATACTTTAAAGGTACATATAAATTTAAGTTTAGGAAACAATACTGATACCTGTTGGATCATCTGTATCTAAACTCACCTCTGTGAAAGCTGTCTCATCTGGTGATGGTTTTACTCTCTGGAATATGTTTTCACACTAAAAATACAAACAGAATATTTCAAGTAGAATCCAACTCGTATTCTTTTTTATAATGTCAAAATAAACAGTGTCTGGTGTATGTACATGTAATTGTGTCACTGAAATATGAGATTTTGAACAAGAGATCATCATCTTGCAAGAACTCATTGATTCTCTACATTATATACATTAATCACTAATGTCAACTGAAATTTTTATAAATTTAGGAAGTTTTGGCCACCATTTGCCACCTTGGGAAGTTCCAGTCACACACGTATTTATGTTACTGATTCAGTTCCTGACTTAATATATATTTATATATTTTTACTAATAACTTGTGCATTGCACACAAAGCTTATTAATTTTTATTTACTAATAATTTACACGGTGCAAGTACAGCAAATTTATATTTATGTTGCAAGTACTGCTTCATTATAATATTTACTTGTAACTCACACGATGCAAGAACGACATACTGTAAAATACTTTATTTTCGCTGAAGTGATATAAATCAGCTAAAATAAAAGCCAGTGAAAATATGTTTTTTTCTATATTTTACATTCATCAAAAAACAGTGAAAATTAAGTTCACACAAAACAGCCAAATACTATTTCAGCAAAAATTAATTCCAGCTAAAATAAAGTATTTTACATATGTTGCAAGTATGGCATATTTATTTCATTTATAAACAATTCAAAATAAGCCGATTGTAAATAAATATATACAAGTCTTGCAAATATGTTAATAAATATATATAATCTGAAAGAACTCAATCCCTAAGAATACAATGTAAAACGTGTGTGGCCAAAACTTCCAGAGTGGCAAATGGTGGCCGAAATTGTCCCTCACCAATCTTAGCGCACTGATGTCACTGGTCACTGGTGCATCCAGTAGTCCTACTTTTGCCAGCGCACTTTTTAGTTCTGAGATATATGCCATATTTCAGTGCATGCAAGAAATACTGTTCAATAAAACACAATTGTGTTCTTACCTGTACAAAGTCAAAGGGCATGTGTGGAACAAAACTCCGAAATCTGGAAAAAGATAAGAATAGAAAACAATTTATCATAATGAGAGGATTTCACACATGACAATTTTGAGACATCGTTCCTGATTTGTTTGTTGCCATGACTACTAGTACTTACTGTGGTTGGCCTGGCGATCTGTATGGCATAGGACGTCCTCCTCTTCCCCGACCACGGCCTCTGGTGTCCCTGAAAAAAGTAGAACATTAAACAATATTAAAATGGTTCAGTATTTAGCAAGTCAACCATTCAAAATGAATATTATAATTGCATAGTATTAGCGGCCTATACATTATAGGTTGTAGCACTGTGACTTCACATGTTCACATTTTTGCCAACCAGCATGATGATCAGAACTACCTATGATTTGCCTTGACAATTTTGCCCATAAGTTTACTGGTACATGTATATGTAATAACGCTTGAATGCCCAGGGATCTCACCAGCCCAACTAGAGTGGCGTGGCCATCATTTTATCTTTTGGTGTGAACAACCAGTAATTGCCAACCAGTCACTACATACACGTATGTGTGCAAAACATAAACAAGTGCAACAGCCTACATGTAGTGTGATTCACAGTGTAGTTTTTCATATCAGATCCATAATGGCCAGGACTTGTTTCCTTTTACACAGACCGAATAAACACTGTCTAAATTATTGTGACAACCAGTATAAACAGTTTTCATGATGGCCTGGATTAGTTACTATTTTTTTATTATGCCAGATAATCAATGCTTTTTGGCATGATAAAGTCTTGTAATAATTTTCCATCACCTACAATGAAAATCCACATAATCTGATTGGTCATACAAGCGTATTGATCTATTGACATCATTTCTGACAATTGCAAAATACGCTCATGCCTCAATCTGTCAATGGTTTTATACTAAAACTTTCAAAGGTAAAAATATTGTAATTTGAATGTACATGTATTTCTAATGGTCGACGGTTGAATGGTATTTTTCATAGACGATTTACTGTGTCAATTAAACTGTATATGTCAAATTACAGGTATATGTTAGTTTTTATAATTTGGTGCTATGTGCAAACTGGAGAAGAATCCTTAAAGGCAGAGGTTTCGCCTAACAATCTTATGAGTTTCAAAAAAATGGGTAAAATCAAATGTAAAAGCACGCAGCTCCCGAAGCTATATGGTAAATATTGATACGAAAACAAAACAAAAGATCCCGACTGAAGAAAACATCGCCAGGATTTGATTATGAAGTCAACGAAACTGGCACCTCTTCATTAAGTACGGGTATGCCGAACTTCTTAATATAATAGACTACATAGGATAATTTGTTCCGCTTACCTCATTTCGTGATGTATAATTTAAAAAGCCGGGTCAAGTTAGAAACACAACACTCGTGTTGTTGAAAATCAATGGCGTGGGTTTTGTGTTTGTTTGTTTGGTATTAGGCAACTCACCCATATGGTAAATAGCGCCACCAAAGACCCATAAGCATGAAACTTTGTTTTTAAGATCTCAGACATTCGATTTAAAATACTAGTAAAAGAAAACATTTACCACAATTTCAAAAGTGTCACATAATTATTGACTTTGACACATGTCATCAACTTTTCGCATTTTTTGAAAAATGGACAATTTTGAAACAATTTCAATAGGAAGCCACATTATCAGAACGTCCCAATACATCTTGACAACTACCAGTACAGGCCATTTTTCGTTCGCTGTGAAATCTTGAGTCATGCGTGAAAAAAAACATAAAAACAGTACAAACACACTCCAATATATGTGTTATCACATGATACCTGCTATACAGATTTGATGATGGTCAATTTTGATGAAGTAGGGTATCTCAATACCATAGTCCTCTCTGAAATATCAGCATTTCGACATTGAACTATAGAAGAGAAATTGAAGTTCAAAATCAAACCATTCAACTTTTTGCAGCGGATGATCTGCGTCTTTTATGCATTATCCAAGATCTTGCACTGAAGGAAAAATTGCCTATTACATAAGATTTTGGACCTTATGTAACCAAGCTTTTAACTACAGGAAAAATTGCCTATTACATAAGATTTTGGACCTTATGTAACCAAGCTTTTAACTACAGGAAAAATTGCCTATTACATAAGATTTTGGACCTTATGTAACCAAGCTTTTAACTACAGGAAAAATTTATTTGGCTAAAAAAAATCATTATTTTTATGTATGTTCAACCTGTGAGAAAAGTAGTTTAGTGTCTATTTATTTAAAACACAAACAGCAATAATCAATTATAAACAGTATAACATTTATTTCATGTACAAATATTTAAATTCTGCTGCAAGATGCAACTTGTATACAACTTTCAATACATGTACAATAACATGTATTTTGGTGATACATGGCCTAGCCTTGTCAAATTTTGTATGCATAAATATCATACACAAGTCTACACATATTGTGCGTACATGGAATTTAAATCATAAAATTGTATGAAAAGCTGTGTCATTGATGCACAAACAAAAATATTTTTGATTAAAAAGTTGTGCAACAATTCACTAGAAAAAACATGGCACAGGATTTTGTATTTTGAAAAACTTACAATTAACAATGTTTGTTAAAAATATTATCAGGTGTAGCTTGTAACAGCTACGGCTGTACTATATAATGAATTCTTGATCTCAGCATTACTTTGAAAAATTCTATTCTTCAAAACAATTCATTGACATGATATAGTCATTGCTTGTATTTGACTGAAGTTTGAGAGGGGCTAGACACTCGCAGGCAAGGAAATTTCTTCAAAACAAAAACAAATTGACATATCATGTTTTCTTTCGTACCAAATTTAAACAAAATCAGTATCTCATTTACAATGTGTCTTTGAACAAAATCGGTCCAAGCTCGTTTGAAAAATAATGTCAGTCAGAACCCAGAAGTCCAAGTTTCTGGGACTAAAAATATATAAACCGTTTTTAATCACAGTAAGTCAATAAGTGTCAAAGATATGGGTAAGAACTATTGATTTGGTTCATAATGACTGACTGGTATAAGGCCATATCAGTCATGCAGAGATCAAGAAACAAACAATGAACATGCATTACAGGCAACTCTTCATGTTCGATATCAGTGTCCGCATGCCTGAGGCTGAAAAACAATTGATGATGTGACGAAATTTTGTGAATCCAATTTTCAAAAAAAAACAAAATAACTACCGATAAACCAAATTTAAACCTCAGAAATGACCATGAGGGAAATTACCAACAGTAGGCCATCTTGTATCAAATTACAAATTATGCATGTTGTATTTCAGGACAAATATGGCCATTAGTCAGTCAACAAAAAAACTAATTACATCATGCCATCCAAACTTCAGAAAAAAATGCAGTATATCAGAGACTGGTTAAGAACATTTGAAAATAAAAACTAACATTTTAAATGAAATTGTTCTAGGCATGCCTGAAACGTGATTGAAGACGTTTTAAAATGATGTTTTTTTTCAACAGACTAATATTAAGGCACACTTTATTAACGGATCCTAAGATTTTTAAATCTACTTGTATATTTTTATATAGCATATAAATCCATGTTGTGATCTGAGGGAGGTGTGTTTGCTGCATCATACTGTTTTTTCAACAAGTATAAAACCACAACAATAATATTTGTGGCTATGAGCACAATTACTATTATAGCCCACCAGTAACTCTGGAACATGGTTTGGTCTTGTAGTATAACAGGTGTCAATTCCAGCTGTTGCTGAACCTGTTGATAGACCGTATATATATACGTTAGAATAATTGTTTTTTCATTTATTATACTACAGCAACTTAAAGTGGTATGTATAAGACCAAAACATAGCTTTATTTTTCTTGTCCTGAAGAAAGTAAGAAATGTTACATTTTAAGTACATACAATACAAAGCAGAATTTTATACATTGAAAAAAAAATATCAACAAGATGCTCTCTGATTGGTCTGACTTGTAGGTGTTAGGGATGGGTAGCCAATCAGGCACAATCTTGTAAATAGCCTTGTATGACTCCAAGATTCAAGAAATTACCGGTAACAAATACCTGCCTAGTGTAACTGGACTTTATTTCCTAAGCAACACTGTTGAACACAAAGATTTAAATCATTTGTGAGTAGTGAAATAAAATATATATGTGTAAATTAATAAATGGCATACCTCCATACATTCTTGATCCAGATTGCAATAACCTTTGTAACCATTACAAGGTCTACCAGGTTGTGCCATTGTGTCCGGGACACTATCTATTTCAAATGTTGACCTTGTATCAAAAAGTAAAAAGAAACAAGTTTTTTATTAATTTGTCTACAATACATTGATTATTGATAGTTTATTCATTTAATGACTGGTTGAGTTTATTACTTCTGTCAAGAAGGTTATGTTTTGGTTATTTTGTTGTCAGCAGGATAAATATACAAATGAATTTTCATAAACTTTACAGAAGGGATGCCCTTAACACATTGACCAATCTATCAGATTTTGGGAGAGACATTGATCTTGGTTTCCATGGTAACAGCATCATTGAGAATGGTCCTTCATTGATAACTCAAGATTGGAGTTTGAGGGAGATCTGGATCTTGCTGCCATGGAAACACAAATGTTTTCAATGATTCATGGCAAAAAAAGTTAGGGACGAATCTTCATAATATTTTAAAGAAGGGTTACATACATTTTTTTCAAGAATTCTTCAACACTGCCAGATATCATCGCCTGATTTGTTGAGGTAAAAATATTCAAAATTCAATTTGTTTTTTTATTCCCCGGCAAAACTGGTGTATATTAATATGATAAAGGTGTTTATGCAGTGAATGACATTAACACAATAGAATATAGGTCAGGTATATAGATCATGCATTCAAGTTTATTAATATACTAATTAATTTTCGATTTTGCATACCAGACTTGCATACATACATACAGCTACTAAGAAAATTCTGGTCATTGCTAAAGTGGTACAGTTTTTAAAGTGCCCATTTAAGTTTATAAGTTGTATGACATAGTGTAAACCAACATGAAATAGGTATAAATAGTATATTTACTCACTTGCAGATATGATCTTCCAAGCAGCACACATGACAAAGTTGATCTTCTTTCTTACACAGACACCTTTCCATACCATAAGCAACACAAATGGAATGTGAACAAATCTAAGCCATACAGAAGCATATCATAATTACAACATATGTACGGTAACTGAGTATGTGCACTAACAAATTTTGTCTATTTATTATGTTTTGTTTTTTGTAATTTATCCAGTATTATTTTTTTTAAATTTGAAGGGTGGTGATCATCGCATAACACAAGTGTGAGATTTATGTTGATAAATAGTGATTTTCCCATTATGTTTGATATGCACTTTCCCAGTAGCTGGCATGAATGTGACATAATAATAACAATCTTTATTGTAATCGTATCTTTATTAGGATCTTGACAAAAGTGTACAATAAAGTATAAAGAAAAAAAAAAAAAAAGAAGTAAAATAAAAAAAATAACATTAAACACATTAAATAAAATTAAAATACATGTAACTATTTAGATTTTGAGGCAGATGACATACTGTTTTTTTTAATATTTTCTTCTCTCAGATTGAAACAGTTGTAAATATATTTAGACAGTTCTATTATAATTGACTCATCATCACTAGTCATT